ATCCAACTACAGTGAGAACAGTTACCATCATAATCAAACTACAGTGAGAACAGTTACCATCAAACTACAGTGAGAACAGTTACTTCTTCTTCTTTGGCAAAACTTGATAAAAATCTAAGAAATCCTCAACTCATCCCTGAAATAACCTGAATATCGCTTCATTAATAGAATTATTTACCATGTAATCATATAGATTTATTAGCAACTGCTGCTTCTGTGTTTGGTGTAGGCCCCCTGGTGGCCACATCCTCGCCCCGCAGCCTGAACCTGAACCTGGGAGCCGTCCACGAGCCGACGTATAAGAAGAGACGATCACATGACTGGTAGTGGATGTTTCAAATTCTAACTGAGATGGGATAATAACGAAACCACCCGGAGACACTGGCTTCTATTCAAGACAGAACATGAAAAGTTTTATATTTGCTGCTAAATATTAATTATGATTATCAAGAGTTTAAAAGCTCTTCTTCATCCTGACTCATTTTCTTACCTCAACAGATTAAAACGTCTTTAATTAGCGTCTGACTCTGTGAAACTAAATCCCACACTCACACYGTCCTGCTTCCAGTAACTAATATTAGAACTCATATCATATTTTCTTTCACTTTCTCCAGCGGACTCAAAATTAAGCTTCATCAATGAACCAGTCATCGTGTGACCAGAACAGCAGCAGTGACTGAATCTTTATCATTTCATGACTTCGCCCTGAAGAGCTCAAAGTCTTTAACGGTGCTCAAAGTTAACGTCGGGCCACGAAGCAGCCGAATCTGAGCAGGGGTTTGTGTTCCCGTCCAGAACAACGTGCGCGTCCTTTACCGCCGAGTCCTTCGTCCTAGAGGCTCCTGAAGAATTGCAGGGACAGTTCGTAGGTCAGGAACATGGTGGCGCTCATCGGGAAGCCTCGGATGGCGTTCACCGACGCTCCACAGAAGAAAACCTGCGCAGAAACACACTTTTATTAAATGTTGATTCCAAACAGAACTCGTGACACTTGTTTGGCAGCAGCTCCGTTTGTTTCAGGCCAAGTTTGGAGCCGCGGATTCACATCAAACACTTTCATAACTTCAGATGAGAAGTTACCATCAAACTACAGTGAGAACAGTTACCATCATAATTAAACTACAGTGAGAACAGTTATCATCATAATCAAACTACAGTGAGAACAGTTACCATCATAATCAAACCACAGTGATAAAAGTTACCATCATAATCCAACTACAGTGAGAACAGTTACCATCAAACTACAGTGAGAACAGTTACCATCATAAT